GTACCAAAAAGTGCCATATTACCATATTACCATAGCACCAAAATTAATCAAAATGCCAATCCCTACTACTAAAATGTGAGCATGGCACAGCTTATTTATATTTTATTCCACAAGCAATCTGTCTGTCACCCTATGTAGTCCAGAGCTCTGATAGCCCACCATCTAGTGCACTGTGGAGGGTCTCAGGGCAAAAGCTGGCTGCTGTTTGAGACTCTCGGCCAATCAGTTTACAACTCTCTTGCTGCTCTCCCTTCCGAAGTTAAATGACAAACCAAAGCCTCCTGGCATGGCCCGAGCAGGCGGACCCAATTTCTGCTTTGCATAAAAAAAGTCAAAACCACACACGAGCGCTACTAATGAACAGAGGAAAGAACGAGGAGAGGAGGAAACAGCGCCAAGCATCAGATCTCCTTAAAACCTTACAGCTGAAGCCTCCATCTCAGAGGAGATCACATTTCAACAAGATTGAGTTTAAGTGGTGGAGACAGAAGCTGCATGAAAGGGAGGGAGGGAGAGAGAGAGTTTCTTGCTCTAGTAATAGTAGTGCAGGAAAAAATGGCACAATATAGTTATCAGAGAGCCAAAATCTACTAGACTAAACTCTAGTGTTGAGTGTTACTCATATGAAAAGTGGATATCAAAATAATTTATTTTTTTTACTGAAGCGTGGATAATGATCTACCTAGATAAAATGGAATTCCCTTTACTTCCCATTTGCCTTCTGAGGTTACTTTCATCACATTTTACCTTGTCATATAGTCAATACACCACTTATTCAGTGGACTTTTGGGCTGATGGATTACTTCAGGGAACTCAGGGAACCTTTGCTTTGGAGTTTCTGAGGAGCTCTGGCTGGGACAGGGTTAAAGTCTCCTCCCTGGGGCTGTGCTTGCTACCGCTAAAATTAAACCACAGCTGGTTCCCATTAGCCTGCAGTGACACTAGGAGACTGTACTTAAGCTGTGCTGCGGGGGCTCCGCCGCCCCACTCAGATAATACTACTGTCCCCTGCCACAGGCCAAGTTTAAACTGGCCCTGCACAGCTTCTGCTGGCAACCACTGTGTTTTCAAACCAGGGGAACAGAAGAGGAGAGAAAGGTGAGAGTTATGGAGGGAGAACATTATGGAAAAGAGCCCGTCTCTGGTGAGAGGTGGAAAACCTTGTGTCTGTCATCACGTTCCAGTTCATCAGAGGAGAAAAACATTTACATGATAATGTGAAAGCCATAAAGCACAAAATATATGAAAAAAAAATTAGAGAAGCACATAAATATCTGTATCATATCAGCTATTAATACAGTTTGGGAGTCTGGCAGAAAAACACAGCATGTGCATTGTGAGTAACAAATGAGACGTTGATGACTGATTTACAGCGTGAGAAATAAACCAATCGGCAGTCTTGTAAGGACACCTCAGCCAATAGGAAGACAGCAATCGCACATTCCTGATGACAGCCAGAAACATATCTCACATGGTTTTGCATGTTGGGATCAACTGCAAGTCTGAGCGCTTTCCGGTTAGGGTAATATTTTAGCCATAGTCTATTAAAACCATAGCTCTTAAGAGGGATCTGTTTGTGGAAAAGGTTAACAATCAGTTTAATTAGGAGCAGCGGCTGGAGCGCACGCATGAACTCTCCCGGTCTGACACTCACCGCTCTACAGGGAATTCACCATGTCAGACGTCCACCGTTTGAGTGTGTGTGAGTGTAGAGAAGAAAAAGAGACAGAGAATTAAAGGATGAAAGGAAAACAGAGGGCATGTGAGTGAGGAGGAGGAACAAAGTAAGAAAGGAAGGGAGGACAGACCTTATCAGCAAAGTTTGTCCATTCAGGATTTCCTTCCAAACAAAAGAGAAAGGAAACTCCAACTCTGAAACGTGTTACGTGGCTATAAATCTGTCAAGAGCACTTGTTAAGGTCATTGCATTTTTATGCTTTTTTCAACAACTTCTAAAACAGGTGATATATATCTTATTTAATACAATGATACACAAGACACAAATCCAGATGAGTATATAAATTACACTTTTTTTCGACAACTATAGGTAAAAATGTGTTAACTTAAAGACTACCTGATCAATCATTTAAAAATACTTTCAATGATGCAACCAAATAAAGGTCAATAATTTCCTTTAAAATAATAATAATAATAATAATAATAATAGTGGTGGAATCACATGCTAATACTATGATACTTCAAAATATTTCCTGGTACTAAAACGCATGTACAATGACATTTACATTGTACTCCACGGTACTTTTTAAGAATACTACAGTATATGTCCAAAAATAAATAAATAAATAAATACAAATACTACGCAAATAATAATAATAACACTATGGTAATAATTATAGTACTTTTAGTAAGTAGTAACATGCACTGAAATGCATAACATAACAATGTGCTTCATGTGATAACATCTAAATTGACTGATTTTATCCAAACATAAAATATATCAAAAATATTATCTAACGTCACTGAATCAACCTAAATACAATAGGTCACACAAACAAAACTAAATTAAAAAGGTCAATTTTGTTGTCTCCAATGCACTGTGAACTAACATGAACAAACAATAAAGAATTGCATTTTTATCTAAGATTAACAAAGATTAATAAATGCTGTAAAAAGTTGATGTTAGTTGATGTTAGCTAACGCATTAACTAATGTTAACAAATGGGACCTTATTGTAAAGTGTTACCTTAATATTTAAAAGAACTTACATACCATGTAAATGATATAATAGGCTCTGAATATGGTAATCACCATCTGATACCATCAAAGTACCACGGTACCAACACAGTACATTCTGATAAAGGAAACCAAATGCCTAATGCACTGAAATGCTTTTCATCTCAAACATAGTAAATAAGTGTTGCAAATGCAGAGAAAATGCTTTCAAAAGGATGTAAATAGTACAAAACAAGCAGTGGCAACAATCCAACATCTCCCAGCGCAGTGGTATGAGTGTGTGAGTCGGGTAGGATCTGGAAAGTGTAGGGGTATGCGCCACGTGGGCTGTATTTTGAAGGCAGACGGTGTGAGGCTCATTAAAGCTGCATGGATCTGAGTTCTGGCAGAGGTGACAGACAGGTGGATAGGATTACCAGTGAGCCCGGGCTCAGAAACACGCATGCTCGGCCGCCTGTCAGCATGGGGATCGACACACACACCCTTCACGCCTTTTTAAATAATTAACAGCCAAAGATTAGTCCGTCAGCCTCGGGGCCAAAAGGTCCATTGATTTCTCACAGATGCATTTTTAATGAGCGCATCTCAGTGAGGCAGCGTCCGTGAAGAGAGGCTTCCTTGTCCACAACAGCACAAGAAACACCAGCAGCTTTGCGAGAGGCTTGTGGTAAAAACACAAACAAAGCCTGTAAGTGCCTCTCTAATGTCTCGCACTAACGTTCTTCTACACAAAGGCTTGAAGGGAAAGGCCTCAGGGGTGACCTTAAAAGAACCTATGGCAAAATGCTATTTAATCCGGCCCGAGCGTTTCCTTTAATTGGTCTTGTGCGACCATCCATAAAGCTGTTGTGCCGGCGGCATATTTCCTAATCAGCTTTTATGAACTGTAAACATCTCAGCACCAGTGTCTTTAAAGCATTAGAAGAGTTGAATTAAATTTGTATCACATTTGGTAGTTGTGACAGACACACTAAGAAAGTGATCACTGCATCTGTGGACAAGCGCGGCTGACAGAGTGCCTGACGGTGTCAATTACGTATTTCCCTTTCTTTACAGTGTAAAGTGTCACAAGAGATACAACAAGAAAAAATTTACCTGAGAACCTGATTTACACTCTTCATTCATTGGCATGTATGGTTCCTTGAAGAACACCCATTGCAAAAAGGTTATTTATAGTGGGAAAAGGTTCTTTAGATGGTTAAGATTAAATGTTCTTCACACTAAGAAAAAAAAGGAACCCAAATTGGTTCACCTTTGGCATCACTATGAAAAGCCGCTTTTAGAACCTTTATTTTTAAGTGTGTACTATATGTTGAACATGATCAAATGAGCTCAAAGGTAGCTCACCCAAAAATTTAAATTGTATTATCATTTACTCACCCTCAAGTCTCTTTTTTTTCTTTTGGCATGCACTGACATTTATTGTATGGACATTTTTCAAAATATCTTCTTCTGTGTTTCACAGAAAGTTTAGACAGAAAAACAGAAATGTCACTGTTCTTTTAATGTCTGTTTTGAACATTCAAAGCAATGTTCCGAATGAACACGCTTTTTAAAAGTGGCCTTACAAAGGTGACATGGGGAGAGGTTATGGGTATAGGCCTCTGACAGGCACGGACAGCTTTGACTAGAATAACAGAAATAAATACATAGTTTAATAGTGGTTATAAATGGAACGGATATGGTGCAGTGCGGTATGGTTTTATTTTACATTCTTATGGGTATAGGGAGGCTATGCATACCTTAAATCCAGAGAAACAAGAGGGAGTTGTTGAAAGACCAATTCAAAAATGTTAAACCGATGAGCGTGTCTGAAATAATACTGCTACAGAAATAAAATTGAAAGTTTAAACCTGTGCCATGTTTCATTCAAGAGAGACTGTTTTTCTTGCTGTCTGCGGTGTAATATCTCAAGGGTTCATTTTTCCTTGAGATGTGTGAGAGAGAAACATATCATTATGGAAAATCAAGGCTTTTGCCCATCTAAACCATGGATGGATACGTCTGGTTTGAGAAAGCGACACACTTCCTCTACTTTGCGTAAAGGAAGGAAAAGACGAAAGAGAAACAGAAATTACTTCTTCAATCATTCCTCAGATTTCATAAATCATGCATGTGGCTTTTTTTTAAAACTGACTAAAAGTTTTCATGAAAGTGTTGCATGTTACTATTATCATACATTTGTATGAAAGTGTGTATATATCTTTATGACCTGATTTAAAAAAGGGGAGATAAGGGGAGCATTCGAGAGTTTAAATGGGGGCAGGAATAATTGCAAATGCATAAAGAAAGAGTGTCAGGACTACCTTTCCTGTCTCCCGCTCGAAGTCCACATATTCTCGGGTGGGCGCCTGTCGCTGATCCCCATGAAGGTTGGCTGGGAAGAACTGCAGCGAGAGGTTGGTGCCGGTCGCCACAAAAGCCTTTTAGAAGGAAATCAATACAAACAGGATAAGAAAGCCAGGCCCGAGCATAAATTATGCAGCCCGTCATTTCTGTTTTCACATCAGAGAGAAGAGGAGAATGCCTGGAGCCAAGGCCAGCGCTCAAAACATCAGGAAAGAAGGGAGGAGGGCAAGAGGGGGGGGGGGTGCAAAAACCAAAAGAGAAAAA